AATAAAAGGAGTATTATAAAATCCTGAAAAATTAATATTATACATTAAATAAAAAGTTAAATAACAAATGAAATTATATAATTTATTTTATTTATATATTTTATAAAATATTCCTTTCATATAATAAATGGAGTATTACATCGGATTGTAATAAAACATCAAACTATTGTTTGTTAAAAAAATATTTTACATTATTTTTATAAAATATTACAAAATAAATATATATAATTTCATTTATAAATTAAAAACAATTTGAAGTCAAAATCTTAAGTAAGTAATATATTATTTTTAATATTATTAACAAATAAAATAATTTATAGGGATTGTATATGACAAAAATATTTGTATTGTAAAATTTATATTAGATAGTTTAATATATTACTAGTAGATATTTTAATATTTTAATATCTGTTAGGTAATATTATATTGATATATTTAAAAAAATTAAAATTAAAATTTAATTATATTTTATTAAGTTAAATTTAATTAAAATTAAAATTTAATTTTTAGTTAATTTAACTTATATTGTAACGTTCCAGATTATATAGAACTATATAATTATGTAGTTCCCATTTTAATATAATAGAAAGTTAGAAGAAAACTTGTAGATAAAAAGTCTTAAGGTTACAGTCATTCCAAAATGGTTGTAATTTAAAACTTTAACACAATAGAGTATTTCAAAATAAACAAAAGCCTATGGATCCTAACTAGGCTAAGCAGCGGTGTCATTTCCCTCCAAGGCCTGTTCCAGAAGCACCTCATTTACCTCTACTCACATCCAAATGGATGATCATTACAACAGAAACACACACAAACAAAAGACAAACACAAGTAGAAGGGTGAGTTAGATATACAAAAATCATGTTATAACAATAACACCCAACATGCAAGTTTAATTCATATATACTGGGTCACTTAAAACAATTTGTTACACTTTAAACTTGACTGTACGAATTTAGAATGATCGTCGAGCTATGGCAGATCATGCACTCATGGTGGCCTCTACTACTTTGCAAAGTCATTGCCAATGGGTTTCACCCTACCACACTCACGAGGTTAGTCCCTTCTCACTCACCTTGGGCCATACTGGAAGCACCCAAGACTAGGACCTCCTGCTACTACTCACGACATGGTTCAATCCTCTCTACTTGAGCATAATTGACCATTGTAGTTTCAGGATAACCCCCAAGACTAAGCTTCCATGCAAATCATTCTAAAACACACCAAGGGCACCACCATGGATCTTCTTCTTGAAGATAATGGAATTACGTCCAATAACATAGGGCACCACCATGTAACCTCCCTTTGAGATCCATAGAATTACGTTCATCAACCATACTTTTAAAACCACATACTTTGAATCACCTTGAATCACCAATCATACATTTGAATAACATACACTTTCACTTTAACAATATACAACATGTTTGAATCCCATCATACAATACAATCTGCTCCAACACATACTTCACAAACCATACAACATTCAACTTTATGTGAAACAATACAAAAGAGAAGATAGAGAATAAAACCCTGAACGTCTCGCACAGCGTACCCCTTCGCACAACGAGACTAAGAGCTTTTCGCACAACGCACACTACTCGCAGGACGAATTAACTCACAGAGGTACCAGGCCTAAAATCTCTCGCATAACGCACCCCTTTCATTCGCTATGCGAATTAACTCGCTGAGGCTACAGGCCTCAGGTCTTCTCGCATAGTGCACCCAGGTCGCTATGTGAGGGCTTAAATAGAGAGCTCACCCCCAAACCTCTTCGCTTTGCGCCCCTTGTTAAGAAAATTTTAGCAAGTGTACCAAATCATTCAAGTAATAAAATCGGTAAGACCGGATATCGTTTCCCAAGAAACTCGTGTCACCAAACAATCGTATGATTTCCAACTACTTTATACTGAAGAATGCTTCATAATTTGGGTTTTAGTGCAATTAAAGTAAACATGAAACATAAATGATAAAAGTGATATTAGATACTCAAACACTTGGAAATGGAAAGATTAGAAATGATATGGAATGATATTGTTGGGGGTGTTAAGGAAATTTCGGCAAGTGTACCAAATCGTTCAAGTATTAAAACTGGTAAGACCGAATATCGTTTCCCAAGAGACTCGTGTCACCAAACAATCGTATGATTTCTAACTACTTTAGACTAAAGAATGATTCCATAATCTGGGTTTTTATGCAATTAAAGTAACGATGAAACGTAAATAGTAAAAGTGATCTTTGATGACTCAAACACTTGGAAACATATAAGATTAAAAGTGATATGAATTGATATTGTTGGGGTATGATTTCACCTACTTCACTCTGATGCATGCAAATTTACACCTTCTTCATTTACTTACTAATGTCAATCTTCTAATTTACTCAAACCCAATCCCTTGGTAAAGAGAGCCTAGACTTCCTTATTAAGCTCCAATTCCTTGGAAAACCTAACAAGTTAATTCGCTTCAAGACTTGAGACCTAAGACAACAAAAAGTTCAAGTTCTATCCCTAGATACAATTCCCTTTGGGTAATTTGTTCCAGTTCTAGGTTCACACAATATTTTCCAACATCAAGCAAACCCTAAAATCATGTCGTGGATAACAATGTCACAACAAGCTTTATGAAAAGGAACAAAATACTTGTAATCATGAAAGAAACATCAAATACATTCAAATCAGTAGCAATACATAAGAGTTTGGTGGTTGCATCAATACCCCAACAACAATGAAACTAGCTCTCCATGAATGGAGAGCTTAAGCTTACAACAAGGATGGAAATGGAAGAACAAAGAAGACCCAAGGAAGAAGATGGAATGTTCCCACAGCTCCTAGCTCACCTACAAGTGCTCCAAATGAAAGAAAACGCGTCTGGGTCAAAAAAGATCCAAATCCCTTCGAGTTTCAGCCCTAAATAGACCAAATTTGCCACATCAGCATCGCCACCGCTCAGCTGCACCCCAGCAGAAGCATTCCAGTAACAGAGCCCTCAGTTGCACGCCAGTTGCACCCCAGCGGCAACATTTTAGAGAGTTGGCGCTCAGCTGCGCGCTAGCTGCACCTCAACTACAACAAGCCAGGATGAATGGGGCTCAGCTGCACCCCAGCCACAACATTTATGTTCAATGTTCTTCTTTTCACACTTCTTCTTGCTTCTATGGTTCTTTGACTTTTTTGGATTGACACAGAAGCTTCATGTGAATGATCTAAACATAGTAAAAATTGGGGATTAGTGATGAAATCAAATCAATACAACTCAATATGTAACTACTTAGAAACACAACAAATTGAGGCATAAAGAAGGTAGAAAACTAAGAAAGAGTTTATTTTGTTTACTTCTTCATAAAAGAAATATAGGTCAAATTCAACATTATCACCCCTCTCGCCTTTCGAATTAAAATGGTAGTGACTCCAAGCCACCACCAGTTGCACAACGATTAGATTCGCTATGCGAATCACTAGACAAGAGCAACACTCTCCAATCATTTGCAAAGCGTACCAGCTCGCACAACGAATGACCCAGACAGTGAGCACTTTCTACAAGGACTCGTTATGCGAGACAACTCGCATAGCGACTCTACATCATCTACAGAACGCAAATTCTGCAGAATCGTGCACTCACACCAGCCCTTGCCATTTCTAGGCCTTTTCTCCAATTTCTAACACCCTTAATTTTTGTTTTACACCTAATTAGACTTATCTAAATGTCCTAATCCTTCCTACTACACTTCTAAAGGGATTGCACTCAACTTTTACTCCTCACCATCAATTTCCACAACTTGAAGATCTGAAACCCAATTCTAACACTTTGCACATACTAGGACCACTTTGGTGACTCAAGCAAGTCACAATACCCTTGCTAACACTGCCCCAATAGCCTAAATGCACTCTGAACATCCCAAAGCTCAAAATCACTATCTCATTTCCCCTCAACAATTCCACAACACTAGTATTTCACTATGCTTATGCCAAATCCAGGTTATAACAACCTTCTACTCAAAATACTACTAACATGAACAATTTCCACAGTCCAACGCATCCAATATAGTTTATTAACATCACCTCACAGGTTCACAGATTCAACACTTCAGCATACGTAAATTAAGCTACCAAAATTAAATAACATCTCAAACAACATATCAGTTCAGATTTCAACACACATACACATCATACACTAAAAAAATTAGAAGAATGTATAGCTCCCCTTACCTCAGAGTTGAACTGCCCAGCTCACAAGAATGCTTCTCTAAAGTACCTCTCACAGCAAAGACCCAACCAAACCTTACAAACAACCACATTGATGGTAGGAACAACTCTTAGAACTAGGATGGAGTAGAAAAGGAAAAAGATGAAAGCACAAGACGCATGCAACCAACAAGAATGTATGTGCTAGGTTTAGAAACGGAGAAGAAGTTGCATGCAAGGACTTACCAGCCTAGAACCCGAAATGAATCGGTCAATTTCGAAGCCCTCTACGTTGCGAACGTTTGGGCGCCACCTGATCGGAGATCCAATGACTCAGTGAAGAGAAATGGAAGAGAGAAGGCAGAGATGTGGTAGAGAGAAGGCGGAGAAGAGGAACTAGGATTCAGAAGAGTGACAAAGTTTTCTTCAAATAATGAAATGATCTTTAGTCCAAAGTTCTTATATTAAAAATTATTTTATTTTAAATATCTAATCCCATTATCTGCTGTCACGTGTCCTCTCCTATAACTTATTTCTTCTCCGTCTTTATATATATTATATTTTATATTAGTTAAATTTTATTCTAAAAATTTATAAGTTTTTAAAATATTTACTTATACTTATAGATTTTAAATTACCTACGATTTTTTTTAACAAATATACAATAAAATAGCTAGAATAGAACGTCATTTTTAAGTATGTTATTTGGTCCTACTCTTAGTTAGCAATGGCATCATTTGTAATAATGTTTAAAATTTTACTTTATAGAAAATAGTTCCCAAATTGCAATTAAAATATTCTGCCATGAGAAAAAGTGGAAATTCTTTCCATTCCACACTCCTCAGAAGACAACCTTTTGGTGAAAAACAGAAACTGCGATTTGGTAAAGCAATGAAGCCTTCTGTGCTGGGTTTGTCACTTCTTGTTGTTCCTCTGCTTCTCTCCCTCTTCTTTGTTGCACTCATGCCTAAGGAAACCGCCATGAAAACCTATGAGGTGTTTGGAGTGAAGATAGAGAAGAACCCACCTCAGTCCAAACTCACTGAACTTGGAGTCTCAACTTGGAACAAGTAACCGTCCCTTTCTTTTCACTTTTTTTCTCCTCTGTTTTTCAAGTATGAACTTGTTACTCAGTTTTGCACTGCTGCCCGTGATGTGTTTCCTTCAAAGTTTCAACCTTTTCTGCTCTGCAAATTTTGGGTGTTGCTCATGTCTGTGTTCACACTCCTGTCTCAGAAGTTACTGTAGGGGTTAGGTAGTGGGAATTAGCTCATTGAAATGAACTATTCACTTTGAAGGTATAGGTAAAATCGGTAACTTTCATCATTGATAAAAAAATCAAGGCAAATGATGTGTTAGAATATCAAATATTGATCTTCTCCTTAAAGCTAAAGTAAGTAATTTCTTTCATTGATAAGAAAATCATCAGTTGATGGTAGTATGCTGATGTAACTAATTTTCACATTGATTTTCACATTTATATTGGAATGTCAATAATTAATTTTCACATTGATATTCTATTTATTGCCATTTGTATGACTATACCATCTTCTTACTGGGAAAATTAACCATTGATATTCATACACACACATTATTTGTTATGTATATATACATAGGTAGAGTAAGGTATGTTAAGACAAATTCTATGTAAACATTTTAGAAAGGAAAAATAAATAAAAAATGAAATTTTAGTTTTTCCATAAGCTAAATTGTAGAAGTTCTTTCCTGTAGCTTCTCTAAATTCTTATTTTTAATTTATACAAGTTAATTTTAGTTTGTGAAGAAATCAATTTTATTTTTTCTTCTTATTTTTCCCTCCTAAAATTGCTTTGTATGATTGTATTGTACCCAAAGGGTGGGTCTGGGTTTAATAATGACTCTGTTTCCTATCTTTGCTGGAAGCGACACATGTGGTTCAACTACTAAGTTTTTGCACTGTTGATTTTCCTGTTTTGTTTCCTTGTGTGTCTTAAAGCAAGGAGAAAGAGGAACGCCTATATAATTTAAAAAATACATATCTTGACACCATGTGATGTTGAAGCTTTTTGTAATACTGGCATCCCTTGTTTAATACAACAGCTTAAAACATTATTACCATATCATATTTATACTTTGTAGGTTTTCAATTTAAATCATATAAAGAGAGTAAAATTGATCTAAATTATGACCAATTGTTATGAAGGTGAAATTTTAATCCTTTTTTAATAGTATAGGTGTTGGTTAAAAAAATAAATTAGTGTGAAGGCATCCCGATGTCTAGTATTGGTGTTTCTTTTCTATTCTTTTGTATTTATATTTTTTGCAGTAAACCATTAGCATACAGAAGATGAGATGAAATGTTAAGAATACTGTATATTTTGAATTTTTTACGTGTTACTGGATTCTTCTGTTGATGCAAGCAATAGCTTAGTTTTTAATTATCTGTCTGCACTTGCAAACTTTTATCATTGATGAAAAACCTTGCATTCCATTGCTTATTCTCAGAAACACTTTGCACATGTGTCAATACTAGCAATGACAATTGACACATGGGTCTAAATATTGAACAGGTGGGAAGGTGGTCCAACCAAAATTCCATGGTACTTTAAAGAAGAAGAGACTATGTATCTGCTGGAGGGAAAAGTGAGAGTTACTGTTGAAGGATCTGTTGGGTCTTTTGAAATTGGGGGTGGTGATTTAGTTGTCTTCCCAAAAGGAATGAACATTACTTGGGAAGTGATTGAAGCTGTGAAGAAGCACTACAGCTTGAAAAAATAATGTGTACTAATGATATGCCATGTATATGAACTTGATCAAGTAATTGCTACTTACTATTAGCTATAGTTACTAGTTGCTACTGGGATGTACCAAAGTTTTCACTTCCATGACATTGTACCGTACCTTGACAATGATCCTATTGAAAGCAATATCTCATCACTATGTTTAAGATGAACACGGAGGGAGCACATTCTCATCTCCTGATTGAATTCTCTGCATTATCTACATAGTTGGTTGAATCCATTATTGCAGATTCATTGTCCATGAGGACAAGATATTCTGCTAATAGATTCGTCTGAATGGTTTGTAGCTATACAATATGTTGTTAGCCATTTCAGTTGGAATTGCTCTAAGTCAATGAATTTAATGGAAAAGAATGCACCTGTAATGTACATGACACAAAACTAAGAGACAACCTTAAACAACCGTTCAAGGTTTCTTACAAGATTGCTGGAGGGCAACACTAAAATATGAGGGTATATCAGCAATAATTGATAGACTCCTGATGTAATTTGTTCAGAATTGATTAAGGAAATCTTAAACCAGAATATACACCAAAATGTCAAGGAGACTTTATCACAAATCTATCAATAGTAGTTCAGAAAAATTAGAATGTCTGCCATGTACTAATACGTCCAGTGCTTAAAGAATAGCATGACCGATATTTTTAATCTTCAAAAGATGTTGTTTATGTTTGAATCACGTGATCTCACGCTTAAGAAACTACAAGAAAGTCCTAGAATGCATGCTTTGAGTTTACATAATTTCAGTTTACTCATTGTCAAAAGCATCAACATATACGATAGGAAGAGAATACTCCCTAGTATGTGGAAGTTTATGCATGCCATATTGCATAACAAGCAGATACAATTTTTAACAATGTACAGAATTTCACTATCAGTACTACTTTGAATATATTCTAGGCCGTCACCTTTTAGAAACCCAATCTAAGTTATCACTGAATGTAAAAAACACTTTAGTAATAATCTTATAATTTTTTTCACCAATCTCCTATGCCATCTTAGAATGTTGATTATCGGTGTAATGTAAATTCCAAACCAAAAGAGGAAAGCAACAATCAGCCTTTCCTATAGTTTGTCAGGATAACATGGTAATCAATTTTACCTTAGAAGCCATGGTAATACCATCAAAAAGTAGAAACGGTTATCTATTATTTTTTTAGCTTCACCATAAAAATATAATTCATGAGAACTGACTAATTTGGAGCTTCTGAAATTTGAATATCTGGTGTTGCTCCGGTATATATATGTGGGATTTCGCAGTTAATGGTTTTGGAGGTGTCAACTGTCTAGAATTTTGAGGCTGTAAGGTTAAAGTTTTAACCAATACTGAAGATCATGAATTAGCTTTCTATGTATCATATAGCCACTGATTGTTTTTTGCCCAGATGCAATCTAAAAATCTTACAACAGATAAAACACTTACTATACCGAACAAATGCAAAAATAATATTTTCAATATAGAAAATGATTATTTGATACACCTAAATTTTTTACATTTGTTTGACACTACTCTTATTTATTGTTTACTCTTTTTTCTTAAAAATAATACAAAACTTTATATTTTTATAACCATTTTATTTTTGTATTCTGTGTCGTAAAAGTATCTCATGATATTTTTACTTTCAATAGTATTACGATTGCATCCGTGAATACCTCAATTTGCTTCATGTAAGCTAGATTTTAGCATTCCATCAGTAAATATTTAGAGAGATGTGCATTTTCTTCTGTAACAACAAAGTTATGCATAAATAGCCTTTTCCTTCATGTAACGGTTCATCCAAGAAATGATTGTCAGATTAATTGTTTGTAAGATGGCGTTTTATGTCACTTCCTCGGGGCTTTTATTGTTGTCTCATTTCAGAGGTGACCCGGTTCATTTATCATTATTAACCCTTGGTCGTTTTCAATTCCATAAACATATATTTTGAAGTGAAACATCTTGACAATCTGAAGAATCCTTGGGACAATTACTAAGATTAGTGTATCATGTCACATGTGAAGAGGTCACAAGTTCAAGTTGTGAAATCAGTAAAAAGACTTCTTAAAATTAAATCCATAATAGGTAATTGCTCAGGGGGCACCAGTAGTAGAAAGTAAAAAAATGTCTTCATTGAGACTTCCTAAAAAATTATTGAAAATTTTGTATAATGTGCTGCCTAAATTAGCAATGCTACACTATACCTTTCTTTTTTCTTCTATTATTTCTTTCCTATCCAGTGAACTTAGATATCAGTAGCTATGCTGTTATACAAGGGATAATTACAGCAACTCTTTTTTAAGAGTTTTGTACAAATAACAATAACAAATTATACACTGATTAATGACATTACAAGCTCATGGCTCTTGATGAAAGCTCCAAATCCCCCTCATTTAGGTCTGATTCGCCCACATCAACATTAACCTGTAAAAGATCAAGCAGGTTTAGTCCAAACTCAATACAGCATCCTCATAGCTCATAATGCATCAAATGAAGGAAAACATCTCCTGTAGGGGGCATGTTATTATTACATAATCAGGGACAACTACAAGGTAACAGGAACAATTGATAGTTTTTATAACCAACCCTCCAACATAAAATCCAATGCATTCACCAGTACATGGAGATCATACCGCTGAATCTTTCATCTTAGCTAGGTACTGCTCCAAAGCACCATCTCCCCGAAGAATTTTCCCCCCACATCCGAGGGAAGTTAGTGATCCTACTGACTCTTCATCAACAACAACTGCATCAATTCGATCACTTCCTGTCTTAATATCAGGAATCTGGTGCACATGAGCATGGTATGTGTTAGTAAAAATCTGTAGAGAATTATGTCAGTTTCTGATAGATATATACGAATAAGCAAACCGTTCAATACCTCAAACATCGCCTCAGTTAAAATGCTTTCCAGTAGGGATCTTAAACCTCTAGCACCAGTATTTTTGGACATTGCTTTCTTTGCTATCAGCCTTAGAGCTTTCTCTGTAAAGTGTAACTTGACCTGGAGAATAGGGATAAAGTTTGAGATAAATAGATTTCCTTGTGTCCACCTTACAAGCTACTTGTACTCTTGATTGTAAAAAAAAAAAAAAAAATTAACAAATGGACACACCCGGGACAATTTTAATATTTTTAGCAAAAGGAAAAAACAAGTTCACAAGTTTGACCCACAAAGAAGAAACACCAAATGGCCCAAAAACAATGGCAAACTAAATCAACCAAGGTTAGTTTTGATCAGTCTTCTACGTCAGGTTTCCAATATAGGAAGGCAAAAATGGTTTTTAGACAAAAGCTCCAGGCATCATCAATAGATGAAAAAAAAAGGAGATTAAGGGATAATTCTATGTCATGGTAAGAATAGGAAGAGGGAAATAAAGTGATTTATTATACAAAAATTTGAAACAAAAAATATATGAAATGAGTGACTAAATAGAAATTTAAATTAGTCTGTCATGGACAATCATTAAATCAATCCTTTTAACCAAGGTCAAGTTTGAACAGTTTGCTTCTCAGTGTGCCTAAATTTGTTCCTTCGAAATGGATCTGGTGGCCACATGAGTTCAGGTTTTCACACCAAATAGTAGTCATATGCAGAGTCAGGCACTCCAACCGCCAAAGACACAAAAACACACAATGAGAGGCACAGAGAGAGAGAGAGAGAGCTGCTTACATTATTCATGCTAAATAATTTCTTGTACTGCTTGCCAAGAGCATTTTTTGGTTCAGTGAGGACCTGCAAACCCAATAGTCATATGACTATATTTTCAAAATCTAAATATGAAGGAACATACTAGAAAGAAAGGGATTCCCATCTTTCAAAATCTTTTCTAGTTTCCCAAAAACGTTTCAATATCCTTGCTTTACTATAACTGAAAAGAGAGGATAAAGTGTCAACATCAACATCAACATCAACAACAACATCAAATAAAAAGAGATCACCTTTTTTAGATGGGTGTTTCAATAACTATAGGACAGTCACGCAATTAGGGAAATCGTACAATCAAAGAACTATTGCTAAGTATCAAGTACTTGCGGAATCCACCCTCAAAAGCCAGCTATTAAGGAGGAAGAACCACACACTTAAAATACTCTACCGAGAGTCCCATACTACACAGTATGGGATTTGGGCACACCACAATACTCAAGTCTTCTCACTGTTATAACTACCTTGAGGAACTTCTTCCAATTTTGCTATAATTATAAATTAAAACCAGTTCAGACCATTTTTAAGATTTATATATTATATATATGTACTCAGAGAGAGAGAGAGAGAGAGAGAGAGAGAGGAGAGAGAGGAGGAATAGCCACTGATGGAAACCTCAACAAGGATTTCACTGCAACCGTATTATTTGATGAAAAAGAGAATCTACCACAGTTATTGCATTCAATGAAAAAGATAAACCAGAGCCTAGGACTCATATCCAGAGAGACACCTACCAAACTACCCTTGTTTAATATTCTTTTCTGCCTTCCCTCGTTCCCCTGCTGTTCTATTGAAGTAAGCTGTAAAACAGAAATGCTAATAGAATTCCTTCTGCAAATGCAGTAACTGTGTTCCACCTCACTAACTAATTCTGTCTTTTGAACACTCTTTCTTCCTTCTACAGTATACTTTCATGTGATGGGCTTTTTCAAAGTTAAGTCCAACAACTGATCCCATTCTTGCTCATCATCAAAATCGGGCTCGAGGATCCTATCAGACACACCCTTTCTAACACCTTTTCCCATTGATTAAAATTTATACAAAACTACAAAATCAAGAACTTTATTAAATAAGATGTGAGACAAAAAAGTGCAATTTCAAACAAGCAATGAAAGAGAATGTCCCTAACATTCCTTGCTCTGTGACATGCACAGTATTGACTTTCCTTTTACATTTCATACCCATATCATAAGTGCCTATTTTAGTCAGTAAAATTTTTCAAAAATCCAATTGCTTTCCATGCTGTTAAATATGAACCATGCACCTTCGTAAAAAGACCATAAGACTATATGTTCTTTTCTTTATCAAATTTATTATTATTTTTATAAAAGTATTGAAGTTCATTTTAAATGTATAACAAAAGCCTTGAATCTTGAGAGAAAAATATAAATTTAAAGCTTTAAGGAGGCTGAAGACCCATATGGATTCTCAAGTCTTTATAATGTAGAAAGCATCACAAATCATAAATG